CTAGATGATAGTGCGTACAAATCTCAACAGATACATCTCCTTCTTCCTCAGCCTCACTTTGCCTTTATTCATAGAGGTTCAGGCCAGAAGGGAGTCAGTCTGGCCTCCTGCCCAACACAAGCCAGAGAACCTCATGCAGGAATTCCTACATCCAGCTAATAATTTCTGTTCTAGCTTCATAGCGGTGTGGGCGGGATGTGTCATCCCACAGAGATCTGGCTTGTTCCTCTTCTCCCTTCGTTCATGGCCTCCCAGTTCTCAGCCCGTGATCTAGCCACCTCCTGTCTCCTCCTGTGACCCCACCATGACCCCCTAGTCTCCTTACTTGAATGCCCGTGCTCTGCGCTGGTAAGAAAGGCTCAAAGACCACAGCCCCCTCCCCAACTGCTTATTTCGAATGAAGCTGGATTCAGATCCCAGCTCTGCCACAGACTCCCTGTCTGGCCTTGGGCAAGTCACTTAGGCTCAGATCCTCAAAGGTATTTAGATGCCCAACTCCCATGGGACTGGGAGTTAGGCGCCTAAAACCATTTGCAGATCCAGGCCTTAGTTTCTCTGTGCCTCAGTTCCCCATCTGTCCTGTGGAGATAACACCACTGCCCTGCCTCCCAGTTTGTGGGAGGGAAAATGCATTAAAGGTCATGAGGTGCTCAGAGGCTACAGTGCCGAGGACCCTAAGTTCCAGCATGAGACAGGCAGCTAGCAAAGGGCAGGTTTAACCAAGACTCCGGGAGCAAGGCGGCCATGATGGCAGCATTCAATCCGAGCAGAGCACTTTGCGTCCTGTCATTCATCGGGATAATTGCTGTCTCCCGCGAACGTCCTCGGGAGATCGCCCAGGTAATTAAAGATTAATACACGGATGGATAACTTTCAAAATGAGGGGGAGGCTGAGCCGAGGATTAGGGTTAATCTCTCCGACACCTTTCTCCCCTGAAGAGGGGGGGAAGATTCGAAGGCCCGGAGAGAGGAACGAGGTCGGAGGCCCTGGCAGGTCAGAGCGGAGGAAATGAATTCAAAGGACGAAGATGAAGAGACAGTGACTGCAGGCCCTACAGGAACTCCTCTTCCCGGGGTTAAAAATAACTTCAGACGCTGGGGCTCCTCCCTGTAGCCATGGGGGCAGGGTGGGGGCCCCCAGGGCTCTTCTCTCCCCAACCCACAGGGCCCCCCTCTGTCGGGCCAGCCTAGGGACAGGGACAGCACAGGACTTGGAGGGGAGCAGGCAGCCTATGCCCTGCGACGGTCAGCTCAGAGCAACCCATCGCCCAGCTCCTCTGCCCAGCAGGGCCTGTAGGCCAGGCCAGCCCTACCCCAGCACAGCACTGTAGCCCTTTAAAGTAGCCCCTGGCCTCCAGCCTGCTGCACCTCCAGCGAAGTCTTTCTCGTGTGATTTGAGTTCAGGAACTCAGCCAGAGGTTTATTACAGGAGTGGGTGGATGAGGTTCTGCAGCCTGCAATGTGCCGGGGGCCAAACAAGATGATCATGACGGTCCCTTCTGGCCTTAAAGTCTCTGAGCCCAGGAGTCTTGGGGGTGCTGGGGAGGGGAGAGGGAAGACTGCGTGGGATACGTGTGGGGGAGATTGATTTATGCTGAGGAATCAGTTCTGCAGGGTGCCGCTGAAACCGGAGACCAAGGAACCAAGGCTCGGGCAAGAGTCAGCAATTAGCATCGTACGCTCGTGTTTATATTGGGCTCCTGCATCTTGATTCTCTCCTGTTTTCCATCAGTCATTGATGGGAAACAGATGCAGCTAAACCAAATGGGGCGTGTGGCCGCTGTTTGGGGAAAATGGCTGTTTGGTGGGGGAATGGAGGGCAGGCAACGCCCCTCAAAATCAGCCCTGACAGGGCAAGGCAGAAAAAGCCTCAAGGGTGTTAGAAGAGGAAGGTTGGCTTTGTTGATAAGGCACCAGGCTGGGATTCAGGAGATCTGACTTGGATTCAAGATTTAAATTGTAAACGCTTTGGTGCAGGGACTGTCAATCTGTTCTATGTTTGCACAGAGCCCACCACAGTAATACAACTTGTGTAACATAAGAATAATTCCGGGTTCAAGTCCCATCTCCGCTAGATGTAGATGCCTTGTATAACCTTGGCCAAGTCACTCAGGCTGAGATCCTCAAAGCTGTTTAGGGGCCTAACTCCCATTGATTGATAATGGGAGTTTGGCGCCTAAATAGCTTTGAGGGGCGGGGCCTGTTTTTCTCACTCAGTGTCAGTTCGGAGCCTAGCACAACGGGACCCCCCAATCTCAGTTGGGGCCCTCAGACACTAATATAAAGAATAAGGAGAATGCCTAGAGCACCTTTGGGATCACAGAGCACTTGACAGGCTGTATTCAGAGGGATCCCTTAACAGAAGGCGGGTGGGCAGTTCAGGGCTGGAACACAGCAGCCCGTCAGTGCCATGTGACAGCAGTCACCCCCTACATCGACATGCTTAGTGCCAGCTGCTCCCCTGCCCCTGAGGCTCTGGATGGATCCAAGCCCACAGCAGGCAGCCTCTAACAACAGGGCCTGCAAAGTAATGAGAGGTGGACTCCATAGCTGGGGAGGGATTAGCCGCTGTGGGGGGCAGGTTGGCTCACAGGATGGGGTGTCAGCATTGGGAGGGGAGCAGGATTACAGGTACTCCACTTAGGAAGAAACAGTCAATTGCACACATACAAACTGGGAAATGACTGCCTAGGAAGGAGTACTGCGGAAAGGGATCTGGGGGTCATAGTGAATCGCAAGCTAAATATGAGTCAACAGTGTAATGTTGCAAAAACAAGCAGACCTCATTCTGGGATGTATTAGCAGGAGTGTTGTAAGCAGGACTTTTGTGTTCGGTTCTGGGCACCACGTGTCAGGAAAGATGCAGACAAATTGGAGAAAGTCCAGAGCAGAGCAACAAAAATGATTAAAGGTCTAGAAAACAAGACCTGTGAGGAAAGATTGAAAAAATTCGGTTTGTTTAGTCTGGAGAAGTGAAGACCTAGAGGGGACATGATAAGTTTTCATGTCCATAAAAGGTTGCTATAAGGAGGAGGGAGAAAAATTGTTCTCGTTAACCTCTGAGGATAGGACAAGAAGCAATGGGCTTATATTGCAGCAAGGGTGGTTTAGGTTGGACATTAGGAAAAACTTCCGAACTGTCAGGGTGGTGAAGCACTGGAATAAATTGCCTAGGGAGGTTGTGGAATCTCCATCATTGGAGATTTTTAAGAGCAGGTTAGACAAACACATGTCAGGAATGGTCTAGATAATACTTAGTCCAGCCATGAGTGCAGGGGATGGGACTAGCTGACCTCTCGAGGTCCCTTCCAGTCCTATGATTCTCTATTGTGGTGCAGTAGCAGGAGAGAGTGGGCACCTGGGGGGTGCTGGTGGTGGGGTTGTTGGGGTGGGCTAGGCAGCTGCGAAGGGGGTGAGTGGACCCTTCTGGGGTAGCAAGCCATGGACTGGCAGCTGGAACACGGGCACTGCCAGACTGAATCAGAGCAGGGATCCCTCTAGCCCAGGGCCCTGTCTCTGACCATGGCCAGAGGGAGGTACAAGAAACCCCTGCAGCAGGGTGTTATGGGATAACCTGCCCTAGGAAAAATTTCCTCCTGATCCCCTGCCCCTCCCGCCAATAGCCTCCCCCGCTCACACCCTGGCATAGAATCATAGAAGATTAGGGTTGGAAGAGACCTCAGGAGATCATCTAGTCCAACCCTCTGCTCAAAGCAGGACCAACACCAACTAAATCATCCCAGCCAAGGCTTTGTCTCGGGCCTTAACCTCTAAGGATGGAGATTCCACCACCTCCCCAGGGAACCCATTCCAGGGCTTCACCACCCTCCCCGTGGAATAGTGACACCACTTCCCTTCTCCACATGACCCTCAGGGAGGCAGACCTGAGTGAGTGTGTGCAGTGAAACACTCTTTCACGCCCTCCCATTAGCAACACGTGCTAATTACACGGCAGTTATGCCAGAGATTAGCTTGTGGCTATCAGTCCGGGGTCTCCCAACGAGGCAGGAGTTCAGAGGGCCTGAGTTAGCGAAGCCTGGGGCTGCCCCTCTGTTTGTGCGGAAAATTGTTCTGCTCTGATTACAGGGTTAACAGCAGCTTCCAGCAATCCGTTGTTAGGGTGAAGGGAACCCGGGTCGGTTTAGGCTGCTGTAGTTAGTGCCTTTCCCTCTCCTGAACTTCCCCTTCCTTATGGGGCTGGGTGGGTTTGGGGGTTTGCTATCGGAATCCCGAGCTTTTCCCCACTAGGCTGCTGATTCAAATCCAGCCAGAGGGAATGGCTTGTGAAATGAGCCACTGGTCTCAGTCCAGTGCCCTCTGGACAAGGAGCGCTATCATCCCCTTAGCACCGATGAGCAGGCTGGGGACTGGATGGGCCATGGAGAGTTAGGAGCCTCCACACCTTTGAGGCTTGGGGCCTGAGCTCCCGGGGAAAGGCAGGACAATGCGGGGCCATGATCTGGGGAGAGGAGACGTGGGTCTCCAGGGTTGTCAGTCTGGCACCTTTCACCAGTACCAAACACGCTTCCTAATAACAAAACCCTTAATTTCCTGGGTTTTTAAAAGCTTGGTGCTGCAGCTGCAGAGGGCTCTTGAATCTCCTCTTGTTCCAGTCGGGTAACAGCCACGTACAGCTAAAGAAGTTGCCTGCACTAGGACATGACAGAGCCCCAAGTTTTTGTCCTGCCGCAGCTCCTGCCTTTGGCCAGTTTGCATTGCCACCAGTAGCTCTGTTTAGAGGGGGACGCGATATAGTCTATAGGTCGGTGTAGGAGCAACGGTATCATCCGTTGCAGGAGCAGGGGAACGCAGCTGCGGCAAAGATGGAACCAGGAGCTTCCAAAGCTGCTGCAGCTTGAGCTAAAAAGCCACGGCTGCCTAGTCGGGGCAGTAACAGACTCCTATCCTCTGCGGATCAGCACAGGCCTGTAGCACTTGCTGCCCAGGGGGTTACCCACACACTGATCTCTCACTCGCGCTCTCTCTCTGCTCCATTGCAGGTGTGACCTACTCGGACACCGTCAGCGCCACGGAGGCATGCAAGCCATGCACAGAGTGCGTGGGCCTGCAGAGCATGTCGGCTCCCTGCGTGGAGTCGGACGACGCCGTCTGCAAATGCGCCTACGGCTACTACCAGGACGAGGGGAGTGGGCAGTGCAAGGAATGCGAGATCTGCGAGGTGGGCTACGGCCTGATGTTCCCGTGCGGGGACACTCAGAACACCGTCTGCGAGGAGTGCCCCGACGGGACCTTCTCCGATGAAGCCAACCACATGGACCCCTGCCTGCCCTGCACCATCTGTGAGGAGAACGAGGTCATGATCAAGGAGTGCACCCCGATATCCGATGCCGAGTGCAGAGGTAATGGATCCCTGCATCCCTGTTCTGTGGAGCGTGGATCATGGTCGTTCAGATTAACACTTTAGGACCAAATCCAGCCCCATTAAAGGGCAATGGGAGTTTGGCCCTTAACTTCCTTGGGTTCACGATTTGTCCCTTAGTGACTTTCAGGTCAAAGGACTAAGTCACCCAGCACACCTTCCATTCCTACCTCTCAAAGCATTTTATCAAGGGTAGGTCAGGAGCATTAGCATCACCTTACTGAAGGGGAAACTGAGGCACAAGGAGGGTGAAGTGATACGTTGATGGTCACACAAGGAGCCAGTGTCAAAATTCGAGGACCCAGGAGTCCTGGCTCCCAGTCCCCTGCTTTGATTATGACACCGCTCAAACAGCTGAGCAAAGAACCCAGGAGTCCTTACTCCCAGTCCCAGCCCCTAGACAATGTGGCCTCCAAGCAAATCGGGACCACCTCTGCTCCCCACCTTTCTGGGATGTAATGGTAAAGCAGGATGTGCAGGGTTTGATTGTTCCATATGGTTCCACCTGTCCCTCCAGACAGATCTGGCTTCCCCAGCAAGGTCGCCGTGCCAATATAGAAACAGATCCCAGATGAGCAATGGAACCAGCCACGATGTTCTCTGACTCACGGCCTTGGCGGCTGTCCCTCCAAGTCAGAGAGAGCTCCGCCTCCCGCATGCTCCACCACCGAGCCCACCCCAGCTGCTTCCCGCATCAGAGGCAGGGGAATGGGCGTACGGAAGCTTTTTCATATGGAAATTCTTTGGCAGCCAATCTTTGTTCACCTGGGAGGCCCAGGGATTAGATCAGGGGAGTGTAAGCCTGGCCAACTCCCGTAGCGTCTTTGTGCCTCGGTTTCCCCTTGTGGATAAAGGGGATAATGGTGCTGCATCCAGCTGGTTATGGTGCTTTGGGATCCTCCAGTGAAAGGTACTATAAATGCAAAGCACTATCTGTCTCGGCTGTATTCCCGGGGCTGATACTGATCATCCATCAGCTTAATTCACTGCTGAACATGATGATTAAAGCTGCTACACACAGTAGAGAAAGCAACGTGGATCCTAGGCGGGGGCCACTGGAACGCCTGGGGTCAGAGTGCTGGTTCTAGACAGTGGTGTCGTACACATCAGGGTAATAAAGCAGCAGCCCCCAAGGCTAGCAGGAAAATCAAGGATGCAATACTGTCTTGGTTGCAGCCCTGGGCATTTCAGGGGTTTGACACTTAGTGGGCAGATTCCAGAAAAGCCAGCACATGTTCTAACCATGTGGCTTTGCGTCTGCTGCTTCAAGCTCCCAGGTGGCTTGCAAACATCTGCCCTGCACTGGTGGTTGGTCTGGTGTGTTTCCAAGGGGTCTATGACTTCCCGGCAATGGCAGCCTCTTGGCTCCAAGGTGAAGCCCGGCTCATGTGGGGAGGGATATGCCCAGAGGTCTCTGCTGGCCGTGTTTAAAAATAATCGGCCTGCCTGGTAGGTACAGGAACCTGGAGCAAAGGGCCGACGTTTAATAGCTTCAGACGCTTTGTTTGTGGCAGTTGGAGCCTGGCAGTCCTGGCCTTCTGTAAAATGGAATTTGGCAGCCGGCGGGTCCCTAATGGGAATTAATTGAGGCGTTTCGTCGCTGACAGGCGTAGGGACTGCACTTCCCCAGGAGCGCTAGTGTGCTTCATTTTGGGGGTGTGGAGTGGACCCAGACCTTCTCTGAGTTTCCTATGGCACAGGGGAGCTTGGGGCCTGGGCCCGGTGTACGATAACCCTGCCTGTTTTCAGAGCAATATGTGCCCTATGGGCTGCCCAGAGGCTGAAATCCCACCCCCGTGCAGAGAGCCGGCACCAGACCTAGGTATCATGCAGGACTTCAGTGCGGCTTCAGCCTCATGCACAGGGGTTGGAATTTCACCCAGTGCAGGGACTGTAATTGTCCCTTGCCTGTGCATGCGGATGTAGGGGTGGGGGAAGTCCCCTGATTCCTGCTCTCCCTACCCCCCTGCCTTGCACAAGGCCCAGGGACAACCTCTCCCTAAAATCCTACAGCAGCCCCGTCTAGTGCAGGGCCTGCTGGCTCCAATGAGGCTCTGTGCCTGGCAGAACCAGGCCTGTTGGCACGTGGGATGAGTGACTGAGTTTCACGAGGGCTCTCTGCTTCCTGAGGCTCCGCTGTGCCACCCCACAGGAGGGGTGGCGGGGCCAGGCTGCATTTTGCTGGGGAATTGTGTTTAAGAAGAGGGAAATAAGGAAATCGGGAGTGGGGGACAATGGTTCAATTTTCCCCTGGGATCAAATCTCAGGATGAGGAAACAGGCCAGGGTGGGTGAGACAGAGCAAATCCACACAGCCCTGCAGGGAATGGCAAGCTCTGGCCTGCTGGCTACAGTCCTTCTGCTCCGTCGCTGCTTCTTCTAATGTCCGTGTTGAGTTCAGGACCTGGAGTGTCATGTCAGTGGGATCCGGGATAGGGACTGAGCTCTAGGGTAAGGAACAAGCCCTCGGGGCCAGCTGGGGATCAGCTGTAATGTCAGCTTGGGACTTTGCCTCAGCCCCCTCAAAGGTTTTAAGCTCCTCACTTCCACCGAGGCACTCTGGGCAGAGAAGGGGTAGGCTCGGGCCTGGGAAGTTTATGGTCCAGTGTAACCCACCGGTGGGTGTGAGCTGCCAGTCCCAGGTCCCAGAAGAGGTGAGTCTGGTATAGCCCTAGCTAAGGCGTGTGGACTTACACTACAGCAGCTTATGGGGTTTGTTTTTTTAGCTCTGGAGGTTCCTGGTTCAATCCCCCTAGGGTGCCAGCCAATCCAAATTACATGCAGATTAGCAGTGTAATAGTTTACACAAAATGTCACCTGTGTAGGGAAGGGACTCCTTTGTTAGAGGATCAGATTCTGTCATCTGGCAGTAACCCCCTGTTCCCCAAAGCTGAGTCCTCTGCTGCCCCAGCCATGCTGATGACACTTCACAGCGAGGCCCTGGTCCCCAGGGGATTTCCCAAAAGGGGCAGCCCTTTATTTAGAAAGCTCATTAGCAGGATGAATGGCATGATCGGCTGGTGGCAGGGGTGGGGGAGGGCACCAGTTTCCTCCTTTGGTTGGAGACGTAGTTATTTGCCCTGCCTGGAGCACAGAAGTAGAGAAGAGACCATTGTGCCATGGGCGTCTCTGATTCACCGCTGCAAGGCAGGGGGAGTTCTGGGCAGTCCTTTCTGGCTGATCCCTTTACAGGGTTGAATAAATGGAGCCAGAAGTCAAGGCACAAAGGGTGGGCTTTGTTAGCCGGATTTTATGCTTGGGGGCACAAGGGGCGGGATCAGAGCCCAGCAGAAAATAGCCAGGAAGGCCTCCCCAAGGCTTGCTCTGAAAAGGCGGCATGGGTTGGCACAGGAGCCGTCTGTTCCAGCCCAGCTGAGGGCGGTGTGCGGAGTGGGGGGCTGCCAGTTGCTACAAGCCGTTCTTCTGAGCCAGGAGCAATCGCCAGCCTGAGAAACTACCTCCGGATCTGGGTTTGCTCTTGGGCCAGGCCCCGCGTGGCACTCTAGTTAGCCTGTTCCTATGGCAGGGGTCGGTGCCTCGACAGGCTCCATGGCCCTGCTTGCGCCGTGGTTCTGGAGGGGATGGCAGAGGGGCCTGTGTGCGCATTCAGATGGGCAGGGTTTTTTTCCAAAGGTTCTGGACAGGCATCACTCCTGGAGCAAGGGTTCATCTGCAGTGTGTTTCTGACACGGCTATCGGAGGGCAGTGTGGCACGGGCGCGCTCTGAGCTGGGCATGGCAGAGCAGGAACTCAGGCAGTTTCCAGAAGGGGACTGCTGAGGTCTGTCCTGATTTAGAGTGGACGAGCAGCCTAGAGTGAAAGATACCAAAGGTCTAGAGCTACGGGCGGCATCATGGAACATTCCAGATGTCGGCCTTAGAACCCCAGGCTGCAGCGTGGACCATTCCAACTGCTGGTGCTAGAACCCCAGGCCGCAGCGTGGACCATTCCAACTGCTGGTGCTAGAACCCCAGGCTGCAGCGTGGACCATTCCAACTGCTGGTGCTAGAACCCCAGGCCGCAGCGTGGACCATTCCAACTGCTGGTGCTAGAACCCCAGGCTGCAGCGTGGACCATTCCAACTGCTGGTGCTAGAACCCCAGGCTGCAGCGTGGACCATTCCAACTGCTGGTGCTAGAACCCCAGGCCGCAGCGTGGACCATTCCAACTGCTGGTGCTAGAACCCCAGGCCGCGGCGTGGACCATTCCAACTGCTGGTGCTAGAACCCCAGGCCGCGGCGTGGACCATTCCAACTGCTGGTGCTAGAACCCCAGGCCGCAGCGTGGACCATTCTAACTACTGGTGCTAGAACCCCAGGCGCAGCGTGGACCATTCCAACGCTGGTGCTAGAACCCCAGGCGAGGTGGACCATTCCAACTGCTGGTGCTAGAACCCCAGGCCGCAGCGTGGACCATTCTAACTACTGGTGCTAGAACCCCAGGCCGCAGCGTGGACCATTCCAATTGCTGGTGCTAGAACCCCAGGCCGCGGCGTGGACCATTCTAACTACTGGTGCTAGAACCCCAGGCCGCAGCATGGACCATTCCAACTGCTGGTGCTAGAACCCCAGGCTGCAGTGTGGAACATTCCAACTGCTGGTGCTAGAACCCCAGGCTGCGGCGTGGACGATTCCAACTGCTGTGCTAGAACCCCAGGCCGGGCGTGGACCATTCCAACTGCTGGTGCTAGAACCCCAGGCCGCAGCGTGGACGATTCCAACTGCTGGTGCTAGAACCCCAGGCCGCGGCGTGGACCATTCCAACTGCTGGTGCTAGAACCCCAGGCCGCAGCGTGGACCATTCCAACTGCTGGTGCTAGAACCCCAGGCCGCGGCGTGGACCATTCCAACTGCTGGTGCTAGAACCCCAGGCCGCGGCGTGGACCATTCCAACTGCTGGTGCTAGAACCCCAGGCCGCAGCGTGGACCATTCCAACTGCTGGTGCTAGAACCCCAGGCCGCGGCGTGGACCATTCTAACTA